AATGACCCACGTGATAATAGTAGGTAAAACCATTTTATTTTTATTTCTTAAAATTTTACTATATATCGACAAAAATCTAATAGATTCAACGATTAAAATATATGTAGATAAAGTCGTATTAAGTGTAACCTACAAATTGAACTGATCTAATTCAATATACACGAAAAAACTTATTAATATTTTAGGAAATATTAAAAATTTGGCAATTTTATTATTAGTCTTATTGATTTAATCCTACGAACTTGTTAAAGATTTTCAAATGTGAATGAATCTATTGTATTATTTAGTAAATTTTTATGTAAAAGAACAATTTTTGTTAGCTCCCTATATTATTTACAAAGTTTCTTCCAGATGTGTATTTCAATTCAAAGAGAGAACATAAGAAAGACACTTTTTGTAATAAAAAAAACTTAAACTATTAAATTTAAAACTTAATAAAAATTGTTTAAAAAAAGACACTAATTTACAAAAAATTAATCAAAATTGGAAATTATTTTTTATTTAAGAATATAAAATTATATAATAAAATTGAATCCCAACAAAGCAAAGCAAGAATTAGTCGATTATCACAATGTTTTTCATTCTCTTTCTTTTTGTCGAACCGGATATCTAAAAATTAATTGAATTAAATACAATAATATTCATGTGTAGAATTTGGATAATTAGTAATTTGAATAAAAAATAATGTATTTGGGGGTGGGGAATTATTGTTTCAACCCAACTCTAGCATGGAGAATTAATCGAGAGGGGGAATTATTCGAGGGAGGGGAATTAATCGAGAAAACGCGGTTCCTAGTCCCAGGTTCCTAGAGAATATAAAATTATATAGTCAAAGACTGTTCCCTGGTTCCTAGCTTTGGCTGTTCCCAGGTTCCTAGTCAAGACTGTTCCCTGGTTCCTAGCCTTGGCTGTTCCCAGGTTCCTAGTCAAGACTGTTCCCTGGTTCCTAGCCTTGGCTGTTCCCAGGTTCCTAGTCAAGACTGTTCCCTGGTTCCTAGCCTTGGCTGTTCCCAGGTTCCTAGTCAAGACTGTTCCCTGGTTCCTAGCTTTGGCTGTTCCCAGGTTCCTAGTCAAGACTGTTCCCTGGTTCCTAGCATTGGCTGTTCCCAGGTTCCTAGTGGGGAATTATTTTTTCAACCCATCCGTGGGGAATTATTCAAGGGAGGGGAATTATTCGAGTTTTGAAAATTGAACGTGCAGTAGGGTATTTGGGAGTGGGGAATTATTGTTTCAACCAAACTCTAGCATGGGGAATTAATAGAGAGGGGGAATTATTCGAGGGAGGGGAATTAATCGAGAAAATACGATCAAATATAGGCATCAGGTCAGGGTCTTTTCTTTTAGCTTAGGTGTCGAATTAGATTTAATAAAAATAAACTTAACTTTCGCGTTTTTGTTTTGATAATAGTTTCAGTACCACCCGCATCAGCCGCTGCATAAGATTGTTGTTGTTGTTGTAAACCAGAAAACATTACAGCACGTTGTTGGGCATCTTTTAAATTATTTGCTGCTCCAATGTTTGGGGGAGGTTGTTGGTGTTGAGCCACGTAAAAAAGTTGCTTCATAAGTGCATCGTTGTTTTGATGTTGTTGAGAAAATTGTTGATTTTGCTGCTGATTTTTTGAAGAAGCAGATTCTTTTTTGGATTTATGCTAGAAAAAATTTTTTGAAAATTAAAAATTTTTTTATGAAATTTTTATTTATTAAAAAATTTCTTTTATTCATTAAAGAAAAATCAGAATTAAAAATTCAGTATATTCCGGAAAGTTTAATTTTAAAATTCTGATGTATTAAAATTCTGAAAAAGTTGGTTTTTTAAAATTAATTGATTCTGGAAGGTTTTATTCAAATAAACATTCTTTCCGGAAAAATTCTATTCTTGCAATGCTATCTCTGTTTTTAAAGAGCACTTTTCTTTACGGAAAAACTGTGCTTTTAATGGTTTTTTATTCACTACCTGAGCAACAGACTGATGAGAAAAATGTTGTGAAGGATTAACAATATTATTATTTCCAATACCACTCAATTTATGTTGCTGGTTATTTTGGTGATATCCATTAAGTATATGTTGTTGTTGTTGAGGAATGTTTATACTAGTAGAAGCAACAGGTGTTGCTCTTTGTTGTTGCTGTTGTTGGGTATTTTTCTGTTGTTGCTGTTGACGTTGGAATTGTTCGAGTTGTTGTTTTTGTTCTTGTTGTTGTTGGAGACCAAAAGGAATTCTGAGAAAAAATTTTTGTAAGGTATTTTTAGCCAAAATATATGATACACCCTATAGTAGATACACCTCCACAAGGAGGTATCTTATAGTAAGGTCAAAATTAAACTCACTGCATTTGAAGCATCTGTTGTTGATGCTGGGCAACAATATTGGGTGTTGGAATTGGAGCTGAAGCAGTGTTTGTTATAGCAGTTGAGGCTACTGATGCAGAAAGGGGTGCAAGAGGAATTTGTTGTTGTTGTGAAGCAAAAAATCTAGCTTGGCTTGGATCCATAACTGATGGACGTGGAGATGGAAGGGCACCAGAAGAAGGAGTAGGTAAGGAAATAAATTGAGTATTTAATGGTGGAGCATTAAATTGAATAGGTGGACCAGTAGTTATTGAGGCACGCTAAAAATAAAAATATGATTATTTGAAATGAGAGTCCAAGAAAATCCAAGGATTTAAACACAGTCCAAAAATCCAAGGACCATTAGACCAGTTAAGTAACTTTTACATGAAGAAATTAGACTACATAGTCACAGATACCGAAAATCCTCCGAATTTTGGTTAATTTTTTAATTTATTATAAAAACAACGAATTTACCTAACTAAACCTATAATGTTTATACATTATAGATAAGGTTACGTATTTTGACACAGAGTGCATCCCCCAACCTATTCAATCACAAAATAAAAACAGATTTCCCTCAGATCTGCTTACCTCTTATGTTAGATAACATTTCACTCAGAAGCCTCCCCTACTCCCACATTTCCCACTAAAATATAAAAATCCAAACTGTATATTCATTCGCAGATTTCAAAAAACAACGAGAACTACCACTAGTTCCAGGTTTATCTTCATCATCCATTTCCATATCATCACCACCCCCAGCCAATTCTTCACCATCAACATCATAAACAAAAGGATCATCACCAGCTGTAGGGGAAGGAGCATCTCTAGTAGGTGATTCGCCTAACATACATACTGAACTTTCCATTGTTTCTAATTGCTTTTTAGTCTTTTTAATTCCTTCAGCAAAACGTTCATAAGCCTAAAAGTTCGGGAAATAAAAAATTTTTTATTAGCGGGAAAAATTTTGGAAAAATTCCGTTTTATTATTTCGGAAACCGACTCAAAATCAAGGTTCGTTGAATTAAATGTGAATCGAATGACACCAAAATTATTCACTCTAAAAAACAAACATAACAGGCTAGAGACTTCCAAGCCTCTTGGTCTTGAGTATTGACTCAAAAAAATTTCATTGGGCTTTTTCGGTCTTGGTCTTTGGGTGGAGTCTCTGTCTCGACATGTTTGGGCTTCTCTAAACTTACACCCTAGGATTGAACTTTATTTGGTCCTTATTTTATTTCCAGAATGGAAGAAGTCTGGCCTCTTGGCCTTCTAAAATTCTCAAAGATTTCGCCTGCGGCGATGTAAAAGCAAGAATGATGGCTTGTCATTTCAAAATTCTCAAAATTTTGGCCTGCTGACATGAGTAAAAAAGGAAAACTTTTTCTCAACGTTTTAAAATAGAACTTTCACTTTCGATTTTTGCACTAAAAAGAAGAGTTAGAAATCGAAATTTTCGGCTCCAAAATACCAATTATTTGGATTTTGATTATATTTCATAAAGTCTTCGATATTAAATGTACTCGTGTCGAAGGCACAAAAAATTAACTAGAAATCTAGCCTATGAAACCAAAATAATTCTCTAGTCTTGTTAGTTTTTTTTTTAGCCTTGAGTCTTTGGGTCAGGTTTTGGGATCTTGGTCTTGAAAATTTTCGGTCTTGAAAGTCTCTAGTAAGAGAAACAATTGAATGTAATTTGTTTTTTTTTTCATTCTGAACTTTTCCAAAAAAAGACCTGAACAACAAGCGCAACTGTAGGCTTCGGTTTCAATGGCGTTTGCTTTTGTATTGGTTTAGAATGAGACGAGACTGAATGTAATTCCGTTCCAGAACGGCGAACGCCTGTCACACCTCTTTTTATAACACCTAAAAAATTTCAAAAATTTTTTAAAAAATTTTTAATTTTTAAAAAACGTTGTTCTCTCAAATTATTATGCACTTCCAAAACATTTTTAGCTCTTTTTGAGTTACTCTCTCCAGTAGGTATTTTAATATGATAAATATCATGACGATCTGGAGCTATCGATAAAACTGGTTTTGTGGGGCTAAAAACATCCTCCTCTTCCAGCATTAGAATATCATCTTGAAAAATTTTTTCAAGAAAATTTTTTACAAAAAATACCATCAACATAAGCATCATTTTGGTGAACGGTACGTGCTGGAGGAGCAGGAGGAGGTGCAACCGTCTTTTTTGGTGGAGGAAGAAATTCAGGTGGGGTTCCATCACAATAATTTATATAGCTGATTATGGCTAGCTGAAATAAAAAAATTATTTTCGTTTAAAATACCAAAGATGGGTCAAGCTAACCGTTACGTAAAACTCGTATTCTCTTCCGAACCTAAACTCTATACAAAGAAAACTTTGAAAATGAACCCAAAACCCGTCTTTTTTCCTCAACCTTGTCCGCCCCTGGTAATCACCCATCAACTACCAGTTGGTCTTGCTCACTTCCATATCAGTCCCATTCCCTGGCTATTTTTCCATCAACTATCCTTCGGTCTGGCTTCCTTCCACATTAGTCCAATTCCCTGCTATTTTCCCCTACCCCAAAAAAATTTAAAAAAATTAACCTGATCTCCCAGTGCACTAATGCCAATTCTTTAAGGTCATCCTTTCCTTAAATTATTTATAAATTAGAAATAAAAAATATATATATATATAAACCCAAATCACGTAGCAAATTGGGCTGTATTCTTTGCTTGACAAATGTAGAAGCATACTTTTTCCTCAATTTTGTAGGTAGATCACAGCATGCTTCAAAGAACTTTTCCCATTTTTTAATTAGATCTGCACCTCCTTTTTCTTCTTTACCATTTTTAACTTTTTTTGTCGAGGAGCGTTGTTTTTTGTGTTCTTTCTCAAAAACTTTAAAGACCTCAAGATGTTTAATGCTGCTACGTGGTTCCCAGGTATCTAAAAATTTTTGGCTCTTATCCAGATTAAGCGTCCCATAAGTTTTTTTTTGATACAAAATGTTTGGAAAGTGGAACTAACTTCGGATGCATAAAATGGACAAGGGCCAGTTATGTTATAAATTAAAAAATTTTTACTTGATTCATCCGAGTACCCCTCCCATTTTACTAAAAACTCTTCACGACCATTTTCAATTTTTCTTTCCAAAATGCTTTCAACAAAATACTTAAATTTAAAACATTTAGACTTTTTAATAAAATATATAATTATTATCCTGACCTCTTCTTCTTCTTCCTCTTCAAGTTGTAAGTGTTGTGGATTGATGCGGGTCTTCTTGTTGTCTCGAGCAGCATTGTCTCCCAATTCTTCAAACTCACTATATTCGTCCATTAACTTTAAAATCTAAAAATTCGTTAGATATATAATTTAAATAGATATTTATAAATATTATGATGAAAGACATGGTTATATAAAAATATATTTATAATTTATCATTAATAAAAGATTAATAAAAAATTTTTTGTTGTTGTTAACATGTAGTCAAATGAGAAAATGTAGCAGTAAGGGAAGCGATTGTACAATCCTATAAATAGAAAAATAGTTCATAGGAAAACATTTTATTTGCAATAATTTTAATAAGTTTTATAAGTTTTTTACGAAGTTATGAGAAATGCCCCATTTTCACTTTTTACTCATAAACCACTTGGGTTTAATGAAAAAAATGTGTGCTAAACATTCTGCACCTTAGATTTCACAAACACGAAAAGTTTTATTAAAGATAAAAAACCTAGATAACACAACCATATAAGACAGTCAATGTAATAGTAAACCAACATCACAAAAATTGACAGATTGAGTTTCCGAAGTGATCTAGAAAGCCCTAAAGCATTCAAAAGAATGTTTAAATGATAACCAGTCCAAGAATCAGCTCATATTAGAATTTATCAAAATTCTAAAAAAAAGGTAAAATTATTTTTTAATATGAACAGATCCTCACAAATTCATCATCCTCTCCATTAACAAGTCTAACAAATTCTGTAACAATAGCATACAACATTTGTGTATGTTTTTGTTTCCTTGAGGCGAAAAAAAAAGTTGGCACCACCAATGTCAAATTTACGGAGTCCGCGCATTTTTGCAAATTATTGGAAGAAGGCGATATGTCTTTAATAAAATTGAATTTATTATAAATCGGGATCTGCATAAAATGCCAGTAAAGAAACATGAAAATTGTATAGAGCCTATTAAGGCTATAAATTGAAAAAATACTCTAAGGAAAGATTACTAAAATTATTCAAGTCTAATTCGTGTTATCTATGGAAAAAGTAAATTCGTTCAATATCCTAATAATAAATTTTAAAAATTAAAAAAATATTATTTTTCTGTTAAGTTGTGGAAAAAGAAAAGGAAAAAATAAAAATCGGAATCAATAAAATTAGAACTCATATTCGAACTCATGTCAGTACACCCACTTACACCCTGTCAAACCTCTAAAATATCGAAGAGAGCTTCTGCCTCATTATTTTCTAGATAGGCAAAAAAATGAAAAAAGGTGTAACATATAAAAAAATATTTAGATTTTCCTACCCATATAATCTTCTAAAGGATGTTCCATCCGATCACAATAAGCAACATAAGAACACCGAAAATTATGATAAGGTAATTCTGGTGTAGATAAAGGTAATAAAGCATAATCAGCAATTAAAGGTGGATTGTTAAACTTCTTTGAATTTCGGGAAAATAATGTTTTAATATTGAAAGTAATTCTAATGTCAAGTCATTTGTTTTATTTCATCCAGTTTTCGAAGAAATAAATGAAGAACAGCCATTGGATTAGAAGAAAAGGATTTTGTGCCACCAGGACGGTCTTCCCAACCTATTTGGATCTATAAAAATTTTATTAAAAATTACTGAAAGTTTAAATATTTCCCAAGAAATATTTTAAAAATCCATTATCTATAAAAGTTTGGAAAAATTTTTTAAAAACAAATTTTAAATATGCAATCTGTTCTTGTTGTAGTAATTCCAATTTTGTAAATTATGTATCTTTATAAATAAAAGATATAAATAAAAAATACTTTTGAAGAAAAATGATTGAAATAATTCAAATATTGAAAAAAAAAGGTTTAAAAAATCGATGTATCTTTTTTTGGTTTTTTAATTAAATGGAAGGATAGAAAACAAAATGTTTATGTATATATTTAATTAAAGGGGTAAATTTAAAAAAAAGTTCATCTTCTTGGGAAAAAATGGCAAAAAAGCAAAAGAATTTGCATAATTTCTATGAAGAAAGAGAGAGAGACGTTTAGAGGGGGTGGAGCCAAAAAAAACAGTTGCAGGCACTTTCCCTAAGACTCAAAGAGAGAAAATGCCAACGACGGGGACGTACAAACAACGACGAGCCTGTTGTTATAACTACTTCTATTTAATGAAAATGGCTCAATTAAATTAACTTTGCCAAACTTTTCTCTTCTTAAAATTTTCCTAGTTCCTTCCAGATTCAGAAAACATACTAATCTTGTCAATTTATATTTCTTTTCAATTATTGTTTGTAATCTTGTTTTCACCCCGTTTATGTCTATATATTTACTATCATGAACATAATTACTTGGAAGATTATCAAATGACAGTTGATTTGCGTCCAACTCGATTTGTGCTTTAAATATTGGTAGCAATGTCATTAATTCCTATAAATAATAGATAAGAAATTTTAAAAAACTGATTTTGACTTTAGGTGAGAAGCTTGATCAGATTCTTAAACTTGAGTCAAGAATCTGTCAAGATACCATCAAAATGCTTGATCTGGACTCTTGAACCATGAAAAATAAAGTTTTGGGCCCAGATCCAGGCCGATCTATAAAAACCACTGTCGCGGGCGCACATTGAGACAATGTACAATGTTCCCTCGTGAAATATCACTACTTGGCCGCGTGCCATTCCTTTCCCATACAATAATAAATAGGTATATTTTTTATACTAACTTTCGCCATCTTATTCTTTTGCAGGCTCTGAAGATAGCTATCGCCATCAAAGCCAAGATAACTTCCCCAGACTACATATTGGACGGAAGTAAGCATATGACTGCCCAAAACCCAGGCCGCCATTCAATATAAAAAATTGTTACTATAGGCCATAAAAGCTACAATAGTGCCATCAATTGTTAATAAAGTCTAATCGTGTCATTGATTGTTAAAGCCGTCGAGCTTTTTATAAATTAAGATAAAAATTTCTATTGCTGACAACTAATTATTTCTGCTATTAATATTCAAACTTCGGAATACAACAGTAACTAATCCGTCTAGATCAGACAATTTCGCGCTAGTTATTAAAAGCCAAGATTTCCAGACCTATCAGCATAAACAAAAAGAAAATTCTTGGGCTTTTGATACCATTATATGTATATTCCAAAATTCATCACAATAAAAGTAATTTAAAAGTTAATAACCTTTCGAGTATTTATGTCATTGTTATCCACAAATTCTAAGCAGATTGTTATTCCCCATCTATATCTTCTAAAAATATCTTTCCCGATTAGTATCAATCTGTTCCTATCTCCACCTGTATTATCCTTTACAGCATCTCTAGAAATGTGTTTAGATAAATCGCATTTGTATAAACTTGGATTTACAAAAAATTTATTGTTTAAATTTTTTTCATTAATTTCAAGTAAAATTCCAATTTTATATGGTCCACTTCCTTCTTCCATTTCAAACAATTGCATTTTCAATAATTTTATTTTAAAACTTTTATCCTCATTTTTGTTGTCCTCTGTGGATTCAACCAAAATTCGTTGATTATTTTTAAAATCAGAAAAACAAAAAGTAAATATTAAAAATAATATTTGATTAAAAAATAAAAATTTAATAGAAATCATTTTACAAAAAATTTTCTAATTAATGAATTTTTATAAGTAACTTTTTATTGCTTAACATTTAATTGAGAAATATTTTCCTTTGATTAAATTCACATGAAAAAATACATTAACATAAATTAAAAACAATTATTTCAAAATAATTAGCCTTGAGTATTGCCTAATATTTTGTACTTTTTGGGTACAAAATTATGCACCTTTCATATGATGTAATTTTATGATTGCGGCACTTTTCTTTTATTTTTAAATAAAATGGATTAAACTACATAGTATGTACATATACTACATAATTAAGTTTAAATGGATTAAACTATAACCTCCTTTTTTTAAATGTAGTTCTAACTAGAGGTACTAACTAAAGGTATTGACTCAACTTATGTATCTATTGAGCATAAATAAAAAAATAGTTAGAGCCTGAACTGAAGCTTCGGTTTGTAGTTTTTGATTTAATATTGACATCAAAATCGAACTGTGTGAAGCTAAATTTATATTGAGCAGCTCAGCTTACTAACAAATTTAAATTCTCTAATTTAAGCACACCCTATGAGAGTATTGAAATGGCATTTTGCGTTTGGAGTGCTTAAAAATTTGAAAAATTGCATTTATCGTTATGCCTTAACAAACATTTTGGTGCACAGCCCTGTTTGTCACACTTCAATTTACTTCCAGCCTTTCACTGGAAGCAGGTGTAATTACTAGTTTATGAATAATCGCTAAATATTTTTAGACGCGATTCCCACAGACTCTGATTCCTACATTAATTTACCATTTTTCCAAAAATTTGAAGATTATTGAACCTAACATTTTCTAAATATCGAAATACAAATTTAACTATTTATTCTGAAACCATTAGAAAATATATTTATAAAAATTTTAACACACTTCAATTACTGAAATTTATAGACGAAAGGAAAGATTTTAAAGAAATTTCCTAAATTTTTCTTTTCTTCTGCTACATTGTTCTTTATTTATTTAAATTTATTATTTCATTATTAGAATCATCCATTTTCTCAACTTCTCTTGTAATTCCTTCCTTATCTAAATAAAATTCATAAATCCTTTCATTTAGATATGGCTCTATTGAAGCAATGTTGTTATTTATTTGACAATTAATTGACAACAATTTATTATAAATATTCATTTGCCCATCCTCAATATTATCAATTTTTGTTTTTGTTACGCAAATTGATAGGGAACTTCTTAAATTTTTCAATATTTTATCCTCCAAAACATCCATTTTTTTGAAAATTTTAAACACACATTTTTCCTCATTTTCCTTTCCAATTTTAACGTAAAATTGAATAAAAACGGCATTGGATGGATTTGAAATAATTACAAAATAATTGCCTGGATTTTCAAATTTTATACAAATTTCAATATGAGAATATTCCTTTTTATATTTATTATTTTTTAGTGAAAATGGCTCAATTAAATTAACATTGCCAAACTTTTCTCTTCTTAAAATTTTTCTAGTTCCTTCCAGATTCAGAAAACATACTAATCTTGACAATTTACATTTTTTA